GTAAAAAACTGCCGAACAGTCAGAATGGTATGGGCATGTGGACTCACTTGTGAGTCACTCATCACGAAATGGGCAAATGTAATGAAAGAGTCTTAAAAAAAAAATCACTGAAGCCAAATGCGCCTCTCACAACAATGCCGGCTGGTACACTATTACAGATGGGTTCCTGGAACACTCATCTAGCACAGGAAACCTGTACTACACGGGTAGTGTACTACCCTCCAGAAGATAATTCCTTTTTCTTTTTTTGGCAGAGGGTCCCCTCTCGTATATGGTGAAATAATTTTTGACAAGGATGCCAAGACCATTCAAAGGAGAAAGGATAATTTTCAAGAAAATGGTGCTGGAAAACTGGATAATCAAATGCAAAAGAATGAAATAGGACCCTTACCTAACATTATGTAAAACAATTAACTCAAAATGGATCAAAGACCTAAATGTAAGAGCTAAAACTATAAAATTCTTGGAAGAAAACATAAAAACTTCACAGCACTGGATTTCTCAGATTTCTTGGATATGGCACTAAATGCACAGGCAACAAAAGAAAAAAACTGGTTAACTGGAGTTCATGAAAATTTAAAAATCTGTGCACCAAAAGAAAATGCCAAGAGTAAAAAGGCAACCAAGTAATGGGAGAATTATTGCAAATCATATATTTGATAAGGGAGTAATATCCAGAACACACAGGAAACTTCTAATATTCTACAACAACAACAAATAATTCAAAATGCACAAAGGACTTCAACAGACATGTTTCTTAAGATAAACACATGGCCAATAAGCACATGAAAAGAAACCTGTGAGCCAGAAGATATGTCAATAGAAACCTGTGATACTAAAAATCCAAGAGAAAAAAGAATGAAACATGGAACAAAATATCTAAGAAACAAGTGGGACAATTACAAAAGATGTAACATACACATAATGAGAATACCAGGAGGAGAAGAAAAAGGAAAAAGAAGAAATATTTGTGGTATATTTGTTGTAACTAATGAGCTAATACTGACACAGTATTATTAACTAAAGTCTGTATAGTTCACATCAGGGTCCACTCTTTGTGTTGCACAGTTGCATGGGTTTTGACAAATGCTAATGTCATCTATCCACCTTTACAGAACAGTAAAGGTGGGTAAAGGTCTGTATGACCTTTATCACACAGAATTATTCACTGCCCTAAAAATGCCATGTTCCACCTAGTCATCCTCCTTTGCACTCTCCCAAACCCCAACAATTATTTTTTTTGTACTGTCTCTATAGTTTTGCTTTTTCTAGAATGTCAGATAGTTGGAATCATACAGTATGTAGCCTTTTCAGACTGGCTTCTTTCACTTAGCAATATACATTTAACGGTTCCTCCATGTCTTTTCATGCCTTGATAGCTCATTTATTTTTTTATCTCTGAATAACATTCCATTGTCTGCTGTACCACACAGTATTTATTCAAGCACCTTACTGAAAAACTTCTTGGTTACTTCTAAGTTTCAATGATCAACTCACCTGGGTAAATATGAAGGAGCACAACTGCTAGACTGTATAGTAGTAACACTATCTTTAGCTTTGTAAGAAACTGCCGGACCATCTTCCAAAGTAGTTACAGCATTTTACATTGCTACCAGCAACAAATGAACAGCTCTCTGTAGGATATGTTTTGCAAATATTTTCTCCCAGTCGGTAGCTTGCCTTTTCATTTTCTTAATGGTGTCATTTGAAAAGGAAAAGTTTTAAATTTTGATAAAATCTCATTAATCAATTTTTTTTTGTTAAGTTCTATGCTTCTTATATCTTACCTAAAAACTTTCTCCTTAACTCAGGGTCACAGAGTTTTTTCTTATGTGTTCTTTTAGTTTTAAGTCTTAGCTCTTAGTCTTCAGATCTAAGATCTATTTTGAGCTAAGTTTTATAACCAAGGTGAAGAAAAAGTTGATGTTCATTTTTTTTGTATATAAATATTCAATTGTTCCAGCAACATTCACTGAAAATATTATATTATCATTTTGTCGTTGAACTACCATGACACTATTAACAAAAATCAATTGACTGTATGTGTAGGTCTCTTTCTGGACTCTATTCCATGCCACTGACCTATATGCTGAAACTACAATCTTCATTACTGTAGAGTGATTGTAATCCTTGAAATCAGGCCATGGAAGACATAGCATTTTGCTGTCCTTCAAAATTGTCCTTCGCAATTGTGTTATTTAAAAATTTCAATATCATCCTGTCAATCTAAAATTCTAACTGGGATTATACTGAATATATAGCTGTTTGCTGAGAAGTAACATGTTAAGACTATTAAGCCTTCAATCCTTCACTTACGTACGTATGTACGTATGTCTGTCTGTACAGGCATACCTTGTTTTTATTGCACTTTGCTTTATGGGTGTCACCCCAAAGCTTCAATGAAGATGTACAAGGATATTAATGTTGTTTCTGTGCCTGCTAACACAACAGCCATTCTGTAGCCCATGGATCAAGGAGTAACTTCGACTTTCAAGTCTTACTATCTAAGAAATACATTTGTAAGACTATAGCTGCCATGGATAGCGATTCCTCCATTGGATCTGGGCAAAGTAAATTGAAAACCTTCGGGAAAGGACTCATTATTCTAGATGCCATTAAGAACATTTGTGTCATGGGAAAAAGTAAAAATCCCAACATTAACAGGAGGTTAGAAGAAGTTGATTTCAACCATCATGGATGACTTTCCGGGTTAAAGACTTCAGTGGAGAAAGTAACTGCAGATGTAGTGGAAAACAGCAAGAGAACTAAAATTAGAAGCACAGCCCAAATATGTGACTGAATTCCTCTAATTTCACAATAAAACTTTAACAGATAAAGTTGCTACTTATGGGTGAGCAAAGAAAGTGGTTTTTGAGATGAAATATACTCCTGGTAAAGGACTTAGAATATAAACTTAGCTGATAAAACAGTGGCAGGGTTTGAGAGAACTGACTTCAGTTTTGAAAGAAGTTCTACTGTGAGTAAGGACTTCACAGCCCTGCCCTCCTGCTCTGTAGCTTTCCCCAAATGGTTCTTGCCTTAAAGACCCAGTGCCATATATCCTTTCTGACCTTTTCACACAGCCATTTGTCATTCCCAGAGTGTTGATTTACTCCTCTCTTGTGATCATTTTTTAGCCACTTGTTTTTTTCTAAGACTTCTGAAAGATCATAACTTTTACAAAGCTTTCCATTGGTAAGAGCAAATTAATGATGCAGATTATTTTACTCACAAACTTAATCCATTTTAAGATCACATGATATAAGTAGAAACTAATCCACCTGCTGATTGCCCAACTGGATTTTTTTATTTTAGTCATTTTTGACTGCAGTGTTTCCAAAATTTAATAGATGATCCTTTACTTTAATAATAACATATAAGACACGATTTACTTTCAGATTCAAGATTTTTGTCACAAATATCAACCACTGTACTGTGTTGTGAAAAAAGTAATACGTTCAGGGTCTGTTAAAATACATAGGGGCAGGCCCTTTAAGCCTGTATTATGTGGCTCACCCTGAGCTCTTATTGGTACTTTAAAAATAGTTTGTTTACTCTTCCTTTGATGTCATACTGTTAGTTGTCAGTTTTTCTTGTCAGTGTATCTCTTAAAACCCATCCCCATGTTAATTTAATTTACAGCTTTTGATTTATAGATTTAGAAACTAGACAATATTATGTAAGGCTGGTTTTGAGAAGACTTCAATTTTGAAAGAAATTCTACTGTAAATTAAGTGCTATCAAAGAGCATTGCATGCTACAGAGAAATCATTCACGAAAAAAAAGAGTGGACTGATTAGCAAAATTCACTGTTGTGTTATTTTAAGAAATTGCCAGGGCTATCCCAACCTGCAGCAACCACTACCCAGATCAGTAGGCAGCTATCGACAGAGAGGCAAGACCCTCCACCAGCAAAATGATTTTAATAATTTTAAAAATTATTTTTAAATAATTTTTTAGAAATAAGGTATTTTTAAAATTAAGATATGTACTTTTTTTACACATAATGCTATTGCACACTTAATGAATTACAGTATAGTGTAAACGTATCTTTTATATGTACTGGGAAACCAAAAATGTTGTGACTTCCATTATTGTGGTGGTCTTGAATCGAACTCATAATTATCTCCAAGGTATGCCTGTGAAATGAGCCAGTCAGAGAAAGACCAACACCATATAATTTCACTCATATGTGGAATCTAATGAACAAACTGAACAAACAAGGAAAACAGAGACAGGCTCACAGACAGTGAGCAAGCTGACAGCTCTGGGTGGGGGGAGGTTAGAGGGTAGAGGGATTGAGCAAAAAGGAAAAAGGACTCATGGGCATGGACAACAGTGTGGTGACTGCAGGGGCTTGGGGGTTTAAGGGGACTAAATGGTAATGGAAAAAATTAAATTAAAATTAAATAGAATAAAAAATAAAATAAAATAACCAAAAATCAATCAATCAATCAATCAATCAATCAGTACCCTTGCTGTTGCTGAAAATGGAGATAGGACCATGATCTTTTTCACAGGTCCCATTAAAACATGACTATTCAGTTAGAGTTTCCCTAAAACTTTAAATGTGTTATGCTAAAACTAAGGGTCATTTCACCCTATGTTTAAAGTCAGCAAAGAAAAGGCATAAAGTGGTCCAATTTTGATGGATACAAAGATTTCATTAAGTGGTTAGTACTGTTTGCTAACTAAGCCTAAGTTCTAAAACAGCAATACCTGAAAAGACCTCTGCAAAAACAATTTAAAAAATAATTCGGCCCTGGCTGGTATGGCTCAGTGGATTGAGCTCAGGCCTGTGAACCAAAGGGTCACAGGTTTGAATCCCAGTCGGGGGACATGCCTGGGTTGCAGGCTAGGTCCCCAGTAGGTGAAAAACAGAGGCAACCACACACTGATGTTTCTCTCCCTCTCCTTCTCCCTCCCTTCCCCTCTCTAAAAATAAATAAATAAAATCTTTAAAAATATAATTTAATAATCTTATTAATAAATCCATATACCTTAGCAAGTGATTTTACAATGGGATTCTCCATAATCCCCTTGAGGAAAATTAGGTCTATTTCTTCTGCTCCTGTAGATGAGGGCAGCTCCGTAAGGTTATCCAACACTTGCTGCATTGCTGCTGAGATAAAAGCAATATATTAACAACAACAAAAAAAAACCCTTCAGTGAAAACATACCAAACGTAAAGATGTTGTAAATATTATAGAATTGTGCACTTGAAACACGTAATGTTATTAACCAATGTCACCCCAATAAATTTTAAAAAGCCTTAAATGTCAAGCCATTATTAAATGATTATAAAATAACTCAAAGGCATTAACAATGAACACTCTTGAAAAAAATCACATTTTTAAAAACCTGAATTGTTAAATAGTGTAAGTTTCAAATTGAGTTCTCATGAATCACTAGCAGGGCATGTTTTTATATGCAATTTGGGCTTTAGCAGGCTACCTTACACATACTTATAATCTTACACTTCCTTTATATCTTCAAATAGAAAAACTTTACTTAGGAAGAAATATGAAACTTTAATAGAGGTATAAACAAATATAGAGATTGAAACAGTAATCAAGAAACTTCCCACAAGTCCAGAACCAGATGGCCTCACTGGTGAATTCTACCAAACATTAAAGAACTAAAACCAGTATTTCACAAATTCCCCCTCCCCAAAAGGAGAGGAGGAAACACTTCTCAACCATTCCATGAGAATCTGATACCAAATCCACATAAAGGTATCACAAGAAAATTACAGCCAATATCCTTTATAAATGAAGATGCAAAAATATGTAATAAAAGACTAGCAAACTGGATCCAGCAACATACAGAAAGGATTGTACAGAATGACCAATAAAATTTATCCCAGTAATGCAAGGGTATTCATCAATATATGGAAATCTATCAATGTAATACACAGTATTAATAGGACAAAAAATGATTTATCTAAATAGACACAGAAAAAACATTTGACAAAATCCAATATCCTTTGATTATAAAAACATCAACAAATACAAGAGAAATGTCTTCAACTTGATAAAGGAGATCTATAAAAATTTCCATAGCTTACATCATACTTAATGGTAAAAAACTGAAGGCTTTCCCATAAAATCAGGAACAAAGCAGGAAGTCTACTCTTGCCATTTCTACTCAACATTCTACTGGAGGTTCTAGGTGGGGAGTTAGGAAAGAAAAAGAAATAAAAGGCATCAAGATTGGAAAAGAATAAGTAAAACTATCTTTTTTTTGTAGATGACATGTATATAGAAAATCCTAAAGACTATACAAATAAATTTATTAGAACTTATAAATTTATAAATGAGTTCAGCAAGGTTATAGAATACACAATCAAAATACAAAAATCAATTGTGTTTCTACACACTAACAATGAACAACCTGAAAATGAAATTAAGACAACCATTCCTTTTACAACAATATCACAAATAAAACAATTAGAAATCAGGATAATAATTTCTAATAAAGAAGTGCAAGGTTTTGTACACTGGAACTATAAAACACTATTGAAAGAATTAAAGAAGACAAATAACAGAAAGATATCCCATTTCATGTTAGGATGGCAATATACACAAAATTGACCCACAGATTTAATGCAGCCCTACCACAATCTCAGCTGCCCTCTCTTTTTTGTTGTTGTTGTCGCAGAAATTGATAAACTAATCTTAAAATTCATATGAGAAGTACAGAGGACACAGAACATCCAAACAATTTTCAAAAAGAACAAAGCTGGAAGATCCACACTTAATTTCAAATCTGACTGAAGAGCTACAGTAAACAAGACTGGCATAAAGACAGACATATAACTAAATGAGAGTCCAGAAATAAATCCATAAATTTAGTCAGTTGATTTTCAACGAGGGTGAAAAGACAATTCAGTGGAGGAAAGAGCAGTATTTTCAACAAATGGTCCTTGGACAAATGAATATGCATATGCAAGACAGTGAAGCTATAACCCTTTTCATTTCCTATCAGTCTTGATTTTATTTAGATTATTTATATTAGTTTTATCTCCTTTTCGTATTTCTCTAAGTCTACTAATATTATAGTTGTTTATTTTAACATTCACTTTCTACTTTTATTAAAATAAAATGTAAAAACTGTTTAAAGTCAGACTGTATTACTAAGTGGCTTATAATGAAATACAGCAGTTCTCTGTTCCATACTATCCACCCCCCTCCCAACTCATCCCACCTCTCCGGAAGCAACTACTTTGAATTTAAGTTTCTTTTAATCACATCTATATTTCTGAATATATGCTAATGTTGCTACTTTTAAATTGATCCACTCAGATATTATCTATTTATTTTCTGTTAGAATACTAGAGGGTTAAGCTTTTACCTTCCCCTATCCCTATGTTGGCAATTTTCTTTTTTATATAATTAACAGTAGGTGCTTTTCATATGGGACTCCTACAAGTTTTTTTTCCAAATGTTCCAACAAACTTTTCAAAGTTCTAGCAGTAATTTTTCCAAATACTCAAGCAATTTTCTAACTCTATCAGACCTATTCCCTGGTTTCTACCCTTAAACTCCCTCCCAAAGTGTTCTTTCCCTGTACTTTAAGTCTTGAAAAAAGGCTCCTACTCAGAATATGTAAATGAGTGACATTTTTGGAAGTAAAGAGGTGAACAGGAGAAAAAACATGCCCTTAAAACAAAGAAAAGGAAAACCAGTATTGGCTATGCTGAAGAAAGAAGACACTAGGAAACAGAAGCTACTTCACAATTTTGATGCAGGCCCAATGTGTACCTTTAAGTGGGCAGAAAACAATAGGATCAACAATCTTTAGGTGTATTTTTACCCTCTGACTATAAATGTAGTTTAAGCTTTACTTTTCATACTTTTTTTCCTTCCTTTGACTTTCTGTATTTGCCATCTTTTTTATTTTTAACTTTTATTATGGAAAATTTCAGCCACACATAATTGAAGACAAAATAATACAATGAACCCAGTAACTATCAGCTTCAACAACTAGCAGAACGTGGGAATCTTGTTTCCTACTCCCATATACTTTCGATCCTACGTAACTTTGAAGCAAACCCTAGATTTCATATTTCAGTGTATACATCTAAAAGATCAAGACTCTTTTTAAACAAAATGCTGTTAGCACAAAATATGTAACCAAAATACTGTTAGCACATCTAAAACACAGTAATTCCTTAATATCATCAAATATCTAGCTGGTGTTCAAATTTCCAGTTGTATTACAGGTTTTTTTAAAATGTATCTTCTGTATTGGTTCTTGAGGTACTGAAATTTTTATATTTGCACTGAATTAAGTGGGAAGAAAAGTGGCAGAGATTGTGAAATATACCCTTCGTTATTCTGAACATCTTCTTAAGTTGTTTCATTTTTGATTATATGAAATTTAGTTAAAAACTGGTAAACCTGTCAATATCCCATGTCCTGGAAAGGGAATCTTGAGTACCATAAAGTTGCCAAACATTCTGAAACTAATTTGCACACTTAATAGAGTTCTAATCAACATACAGCAGACCCCCACACAGCCCACCTTTCAGGCCAGGCCTGGCTTGAACATCCCCCACCGGGAAATGGCCAGGGAGCTCCAGGCCACCTGGGCTCATGACACAGGGCAATGGCACAAACCAGTGATTTCCAACTGAAGTGCTGCAAGAATTTTTAAAATATGCCATACCTGACGATTTAGTCATAGGCACTGACCTCTTTTCTCTTAGATGGTCAAATAAAAGGATGACAAAAGCCAATACAATAGCTGTCTGGTGTGACTGAATCAAAATTATACCTGTTTTTTACAGATTGGCAAAAGATATATTTTTTGGTGCTGCAGAATTTTCATGATTAGTTTATGCGTGCCACGAAATGCAAAGGGCTGAAACATCACTACCGAAAACCCATGAAGTTTGCATGGGGTGGGGAGGCCATGTGTTGGGCAGTAACTGGCTGTCCAGGGTGAGTATGTGGCTGACGAAGGTTGACCTGGTGTTTGTACTACTGTTTATTTTTGTAAAGAAGCAAATAATTTGCTTTTCAATGAAATCTTGAAGAAGAACTTGTGTCCCTGTAGGACACGTGCCCCCAAAGACTTGAAAGAGGAGACTGACACTGGACTATTCAGGCTTCAGTCGATCAAGTATGAACCCTAGGTCCTTATGGAGGATGATGCAAGACTGCTACATCTGGAAACCCAAGGGAAATCAGAGTAAACCTACCTGTATTGGATGAAACCTTGGGATGCCATTCATGCCAGGATCCCATTTCAAGGTGCTGGCATCCCCATTCCTTAATGAGCAAGAATTTCTGCTCCTACTTGCTAGAACTTTGACACACCAGTACCCTTTGAAAGGGTCTGCGCGAGGCCCTGACTGACATCCTGATGGATGGCTCCCTCCAGGAAACAGGTCTGTGGACAGTGTACCTGCACTATCCAGAGGCACTGACTGAGCTGGCAACAGTGATCAAAGCACAAGGTGAAAGGTCTCGGCAACAAAACCAGTCAGAAGCCAAAGACCTAACCCAGCCTCCTGAAGTCTCCCCAACAACCACCAGGTGACATACCTCCCCTTCAGTCAAAAGAATGAACGAGCCAAGCTCTGTCTTGCTGAAGCCACAGCCAGTCAGACTGCAGTGTGCTTGCCAGGCAGCCCCAAGGTCGTCCAGCTCAGTAGGTCCAGACTGGACGGGCCAAAGCCCCACCGAGCCCAAAGCTCTCAGAGGATCAGTCCCCAGTCCTTATGTGGAGTTTCAGAACATCTGCTCAGTATTTATTTTCCCCTGGTAGCACTTCTTTCTGAAGTTGCAGTCAGATGTTATTATCAATGTTCCTGTCAATGCTTCTTTAAAAGTCCTCACTTGGTTTTGACCATAGTTCACCTTTCTTGCCACAGGCTATTTAACCCCAAAGGTGAAAGTTGGGGTAAGGGTATTTGGTGTCTTTCCTATCTTCCCTTTGTACATGGTTGAATGGGAACAATTTGGGGTATCTCAGAGTTGATTGGTGGGAAAAACAGACAGGAATTGTTGGGGAGGTTAAGTGAGGTTGTGGGCTCCAGATCAACCAGGATGTCAGAACATTAACACAACCTCCCTGCTATGCAAAGATCTGCCCCAACACTTTCATTCTATACTC